ATTCCACGATGCGGCGGGCGTAGGGTGAATATGGGTAATGGTAGAGGATGATGGGGGGCTGATGGGTGAGAGTAGGCATGGTGACGACGTTGTTCATGGTGTTGTTCAAGGTAGGCCTGCGGTGGAAGTCGGTGTTGTGTGTGTGGATACACCCAAACTGCTCACGTATCCCAGGGATCTCGCATGTGTACCTAAATAAATCGCTCACAATAATCCCCAAGGTCGATCACTTACTACCGGATTTAAGTACGACTCACACACACTAAATGCAGTCTGTCAATGACGCCCTTCCGTAACCTCGGCCCGCATCAGCGGCGGCTTACCAGTTTCGGAACCAGCCGAGTCAGTCCACACCCGCGGGCTTGCACAATGCTTAATTCAACCTCTTGTCCTCGTCCATGTAGCTTGGCGAACAAGCACAGCCGCATGGCTAGGCCCAAAGCACTCCGAATCACAACCACATCGTACCAGTGTACATAGCAAGGACTCGATTTGTGATTTAACCATAAGATAACATGTCACCCCCATAAAGACAAACTCCTCGCCGGCTAGGGCGCCGTGGCGCCGCCTGAGCCAGGATCTAATATATTCATGCCCGTAGGCCCGGTAGGCCATGCAAAGTCCATTCCAATACATTCCGTGTCGTGCGTGCAACACAGAAAGAAGCCACAAACCATAACGCCCTTCTCGTGTGTTTCTCAGAGAACCCACAAATGCCATGTACAGCTGTTAATCTATCGAGCAGCTGTGACCGTTGCCGCGGGCGGTGTCGGCGGCGGAGCGGAGGCTGGTGTGGGTGTGGTCGCCGCGGTCATGTTCGCCATCGGCGCCGGAGGGGCCGGCGGTTGAGCCGGGAGAGGCGGAGAGGCAGATGGCACGGGTGCGGCTACCTGTGCGTCCTGAGAGCTGGGTTGAGCCGGGGTTGGAGGGTTTGAAGCCATCGGCGGGGTGGGCGACTGGCTCATTGTGTGGGATGTCCCGGGAGAAGAGGACGCAACCCTGTTTTGAGCTGTAGCTGCCAAAGTGGAATTTGCAGTAACAGGCTGCGCAGGCCGCTGTATCGGCGCCGGCAATGAAGAGCTCCCTTGGGATACAGTTGCAGGTGTTGCCGCCACGGGGGCAGCTTGAGCGGGCCTTTGGGCCGGCACAGCGGGCGCAGTTGACAACTGCGGTTGGGCTGGGGCCGAGACGGCAGCGGTAGTTGTAGTTTGGGCCGGCGTCACGGCCGGAGGTGCCATACCAGGGGCAGGAGCGCTGTGGCCAAGCCGTTGTGGGGCCGATGCGGCACCCGGAGCCGATCCTTGCAGTTTGGGTGGGAGCGCTTGCTGGTTCTGCGGCTGGGATACTGTCGGCGCAGACGCCAAAGCCGGCCCTTTAGGAGCACTAGGGTAGGTAGAGGCAGCCGGCGGAGCAGCTTGACCCGCAGTCTGATTTGTAGCTGTAGCCGGGCTCGAAGCAGGCCCCGGTACTTGAGCTGGTTTCTGAGCTTGCGCGTTCTGGGCGGCGGCTTGGGCCCGAGCTTGGGCTAAGGCATGTGCTGGGGATTGCGGCTGGGTGGCGCTTGCGGCGGACGTTTGAGCCGCTCCGCTAAGAGCCGGATTCCGGGTCGAAGCCGCTGTTGCGGGTGCCGAGTATTGGCCCGGGGTCTGGACGGAACCTTGTGCTGGACCCGAAACCGGGGCCTGAGGCCGGGTTTGAGCTGTAGAAGCAGCGGGGGTTTGGGCTGCCAGTGCTGAAACAGTGGCTGGACGAGGTACCTGTTGCGTACTCGCAACCGTGGCTGGCTGGGCTGTTGAAGTAGACTGCGCCGGGGCAGGCGGACGTGCCGGCCCTGGCGCCGCGGTCGTAGGCAGGGATGTTGCCGGCCTCGCTCCCTGGTGCGGGGGCGCGGTTGACGAATACGCTCCTGTGGGTGCATGGCTGGGAGCGGGCGCATGCCCCTGTGTTGGCATCTGGCCGGAGCTGGGCGTTGTTGACGCGGCCGAGGATGGCCCTGGTGCAGGTGCGGGAGGCGGCGCCGCGGCAGACGCAGTGGAGGCTAGGGTTCTTTGATGTTCTGTAACCACCCGCTGGATGGCCCCGATGAGCACGTTTTCGGCCTCGAGTAACTGCTTCCGGTCTGCGTCGGTGCTAGGCATGGTAGACCGGTCGGTAAATCCCAGCACGCGGTCCACGGCTGACAAAATCAAGCGTTCGGCGTTTAGCTTTCCCATCTTAGGTTCCAGCGTTTTAATCATGTCGATCTTGAATTTTCCTAGGGCCTGTACAAGACCGGGGTGCAGGGATTGGTTGGCACCCAAGTTCTTTCGGCTCGACTCGAACACTCCGAATACGATCCTCTCCAAGTCGGCCTGATCCGGAACCATACTCTCTGACGCCAATCCTAGACCGCGGTGGATAACGGACAGGGCAATGGCCTCAGAAGCCGACGTTCGCGCCTTCAACTGCTCTGTGACTGTCGCCCTGAAGTTGGTCACGTGTCGGACCAGCTCCGGCGCAACCGCTGGCTTGAAGGGGAGGGGGCTGCCGTTGAGGGCGGGTTGCGTCGGTCGCGGGCCGGCCGGTGGCGCTGCCTGCGCAGGTGGCGGGCCAGCGCGAGGCAAACCATTTGCGGCGGTCGCCGAGTGATTGGGGGGAAGGCCTTGCCTTGCGACGCCTTGTGTAGGACCGCCAGGCTGAGTAGCTACCGGTGGAGGTCTCGATGCGTAAGGTGAGGAATACGCCGTGGCCTGCGCGCTTCCTTGAGGCGGGTGTGCCCCCGTCTGATTCCCATAAGCGGCCACGGGAGTAGCGCCTTGCACTTGCCCAGGGATCGAATACGGCTGACGGGGAGCTTGCTGGGTGGTGCCCCCAACGGCCTGCGCGCCGAGTTGAGATTGCGGATGTTGCCCACGGGCCGCTTGGCCGGGTGCGTATCCGGGACGCTGCGGCGCGGGTGCGGCACGGTAGCCTTGTTGCAGCCCCGTCTCGGCGTGAAACATTTGCGGTGTGGGGGTGGCCGAGGTCGAGTAGTGCTGGCCAAAGGTGTGCATCGACGTGGAATGATCTGGTGATGTCGCCTTAGTTCGCTTCTTGCCCGCGTCGATATCGATCCCCGGCACCCGGCTCCAGAGGTGAGTCTCCTCGTTCTTCTTGAAGGCGTCGTTGCCAATGAGGTTGTGGCGGACGCTGCTTTCCCACCCCTTGGTGTCGACGGTGAAGTAGTAGAAGGGGTACTTCATCTGGATTCGCTTGTAGATCTGCTTCAAGGTCAGGCCGTCGGGCGCGGCGGTCAAGACCTCGTCGATGAGCATGCCGTAGTTCTTGGGCGGCTTCTGCAACTGCTCCTCGGTGTAGTCGTTCCTGTCCAGCTCGAGAGGCGGCGTCTTGGGTTTCTCCCGCCTCCTCTCTTTGATAGTCTTTTCCGGGTCGGAGCCCTCCTCGCCCTCTTCGCCGGTCTTGGATTTCCGGGGTTTGTACTTGCGCTTCTCGGGCCTGTCCGGGGCGTTTTCCGGGAGCGGGTGCTTGCGTGGCCGACCAACCTTCCTTTTGATAGGCGGCTCGCCGGGCGGCGGTTGCGGCATGTTCTTCTTGGCAATTTCCATGGCCGCTTTCTTCCGTAGCCTCTCCTCTCGCTTGGACATGATGCCGTTCTTTGGGGGACGGCCGGGGCCACGTTTCTTGGGTACTATGGGCTCTAGGCTGGCAAGCAACTCGAGCGGCATTTCTGGTTTGACAGTAGCCGACAGGTCTGGATCCTTCTCGATGGTTTCCATGACCTCTTGCTCCGCCGCTTCCTCGGGCTCGGGCTCCGGGTCGTCCTCTACCGGCTCCGAGAGCTCGCTGTCGCTGTCTTCCCTCGGGGCTTCCACAGCTGGGGTTTCTTCGGGGCTCGTGCTCCGTCTTGCTGGATCATGCGTGCTCTCGAAATCGAAGCTCATCTCTTTGCCCCCTTCGGAATACCGCCTACTAGACACGCCGTCCTCTTCCAGCAGGCCGTCTTCAGCGCCGGTTTTGCCATGAGGTACGCCGTTGATGACGAAAACAAAGTCGACATCTTTGATCTGCAGATGATCGCCACTCTTCAGTACGACCTTTTCCTCTTTGTAATGGACATCTTCGCAGAAGAAGCCGTTCTTGTGGAGGGGGATGGCTTCAAATACGCCGTCGGCTTTGTTGAACTTGATCTTCAGGTGCTCTCTTGAGATAGCTTTAGTTCTGCTGGCGATGTTCGGCCCGGGCGAGTGAATTCCGATGAACGGCACATAATGAGGCGAGGGCCGGAGCGCGCTGAGATTAACAGCGGCCGCGCCTGGCGTGTGCGACACATACTGCCTGTTGATCGGATTCTTGTCTTCCACGCCGGCCAGCTCGCCGGCCGCGGGCTCGACCCGTTGCGAATCGCCCGACGCAGATCCCACACCCCCACTGGTTTTCCTCCTCTTGGCGGGGCGGGGGTTGTCATCGCCGTCAGACTCCGGGCCGAGCATACCGCCTTCCTCACTGACGTACGATTTGCTGAACTTGCCGCGGTCCTGAATCGGCGGCAGAGGAGCGGGCAAACCGCGCTCCTCGTGTTCGCGCTTTTTGCGCTCGTAGTCGTCGTGTCTTCGCTCATCCCGTCTTGCCTGGTCCAAGGCACGCTGATCACGGCCTATAACGACAGCATAGGTGGTCATCTGAAATACGCTGTCGGCAAACTCGATTCTGGCGAACGACTCGAGTGGGGCGTCGACGTGCGGAACGGCGTTGGGGGCGTGAGGAGTCGCGGGAACTAGATTGTTTGCTGCATCGAGAATGGATTGCGGAGGGAGCGAGACTTGTGAGGGGCGGACAGTCGAGGGGGGGTGTACGATCATTTGCGATTGAGACTGGGCGGCCGATATGCGGGCGAGGGCCATGAGAAGTTGGGAAGATTGCTGGGCAGCATAGGGCGAGTAGAGGTCGAGGGCAGGACTGGCAGTGTAATCCATGCCGGAATTCATGGGCATATCGAGGTCCATCGTGTTGTTCATCAAGGCAGTGTTGAGGTGCGGCCGTGCTGGCGTTGCTGGAGTCGCCGGTACCGCTGGGTCTCGAGCCGTCTGCGGTCGCGAGTGGGAGTGATCGTGGCGGGAATGCTGAGTGAGGTCGGTCGCGGATGGGAGATGCGAGTCAATGCCATTGACAGTGGCAGTGGTGCCGTCATTTTGCTGCTGCGAGTGCGAACGACTTGCATCATCGATGGTGGCTTCAGCATTGATGGGCACGCCCTCTGAAGGTTCGCGATTCCCCGGATCAGCAGGGTCTGTGAGAGGCGAAAAGGCAGGAGGCGCCGGCGATTCACAGCCGGCGCCGTCCAGAACTGACGAAGTCATCGCTTGCGATTTGATACAAGCTCCTTCGTCAAGCTGCGGCAGCCAGTGCAGGGCCTCGCGAATGCGGTGCGGGTTGCGGCGAGGGAAAGCAGCCTGGGCTGGTCGGTTTTCGGTTTCTCAAACTCCCGGGTCCCCCAAAAAAGCCAAAAGCTTCGCGGCAGAGTCTCTCGCTCCCTCTAAAATCGAATCGAATCGGGTGCTGGAATGCGCCTGGCCTTCTTCGTCTGGCAAGCCTATTGGTAGCGCGAAGAGCCCAAAATTTGACCGCTGTCCGATCTCTGCGCGTCGATTGGCTGTAAAGCTCCGCATGCCCCGCTTCCCCAACGCTACTGACTCTTGTTGGCTGGTTGTTTTGCTGTGGATTCTCACTTTTGGTCGTCGGGTCCATGGCTTCCTTCTTCCTCGCATGGAAGTCAAGCTCGCATGTGCCGACGGGATGAAGAATTGACGGGAACGAGTAACTAAGGTAGGAGGAAGTTTCCAGTTCCAACAGAACTCTTGAACACAAACCCCAACCACCAAAAAAACCTGGAATCTATCAATCGGGACCACATTCTTCACAATACGATGAATGCAATCTGTAAGATACAATTGCAACAGAATACAGACATTAGGAATCGACCACTCGGCCCATTATCTTCAGATCTCCACCCGCTCCCGAGTTTCACTCAATTTATGAATTATGGAAATACGAGCACAACCTCGAAAACAGTCCTTGTGACTCGACAGCTGGCGGGCTCTTGATCTTAACTATTCTCCAACGGAAACGGGTGTGTTACCATCCTTGGCAGTCCGAGTTTCAGAGCCGGGCTGCACTGGCCGGGCCCCGACCCGGATGGTCCCAGGAATCGGTCTCACGGCTGACTGTTACCCTCCGTGCCGCCTTCGGGCACACTCTTGTGCATGTTTCGGAGCCGGCCAACAGCTGCGCGCCGGCCACCTATCAGCACCTACTTGCGCCATGAACCATTGCCAATGCTGTGCGAATGCTTGTTCCCTCGAGGCTTTGCGGTTCCAACTTCTCGGTGTTGAAGCTGAGTGGCTCACCCGTTGTCCGCTGCCTCCTTTTACAGTCTTGGGAGGCTTGTTTCCGGCCGGCCTGTGACCACGGCTACGTAAAACAGCGGAATGCCCGCATCCTGGGCCGCCGTTTGTTTCGACGGGAATGGATCTTCTAATTATGTCCAGCTGGAATATATCCAGCCAAGCCCGCCTTTTCCGAGGCTTCGCGTCTAGAACCTCTCTTCGCTTGGCCACTTTGTTTTGCCCAACCGACCATAACCTCTTCCACTGTCTCGCTAGATCCACTGGTCGAGGCTCACTCATATAACATCCTCACGTTTGCCGTGAGATCCGAATTCCTGAACGTCGGTGTCCTCTTGACCCCAGAGGGCAGCGAGTCTACCCGCTATGAGCTCTTCGGCGATGCCCCCTGGGGGACTGCCCAAGCGTGGTGCGCCTGGGGTTACTGGGCCTGCGCCATCCAAAGACAAGCAGCCCGCAGACTCAACATGGCCCTTACCACGACAGCCCAATGCTACTACTGACATAACACCGCCGGCCGGGAAGAAGCAGCGCCCACCGGAGGCAGAGGTGCCTCTTTCGACGGGAGCTGCCAAATTTCCAAACTCGGGCGCTCGTCTAGATACAACCAACGTACAACCACCACCTCTCAGGGGTCTGCCTTCTGAGAAGAAGCTGAACGCTCGTCCCAACGGCCCTGGCCCTGACCCAGAGAGTATGGGAGGAGAGATACCCATCCTCATACCGCCAGCTTTAAACCTTCACCAGGGGAAGAATAACGATAAAACACTACCGCCTCTAAACACCAAGACCCAACCGGGGAAAACCGCTCCCAGCTTTTCCCTCCCAAGATCAGCAGGCCCCAATGGCCCAGTCCCTGTCCCGGAGAGCACGGGCGGGGAGATTCCCATTCTCGCGCCACCAGCTCTAGATACTCGCCAGGCGAAGAATACCAGCAACGCGCCGCCACCACTCGCCACCAAAACTCAACCGGACCGTGCCATTCCCAGTTTTTCATTTCCAAGGTCGGCGGGCCCCAAAGACAACAAGGATGCGCCACAACTCCCAGAGCCGCAAGCCTCAAAGCCGCTGCGCGCTGGTCCATCAGGGCCCGTACCCGTACCCACCCCTCTTTCCCAAACAGCTCCCGCTGCTTCCCGACAACCACCGGTTCCGGATTCGCTACGTCCAGGACCAAAGGTAGCGGTGCCCCCGGTTCCAGACACAACTCGCCCTGGCCCATCCGTCACCTCATCCCGCTCTGAGCAGCCCGCCCTGGATGGATTACGTCCCGGGGCGGCTCATCCAGGGCAGAAACTAAGCCCGTTCCCTGAACGACCTGGCCCAGCCCCGTCTGGCCCTGTGCCTACTCCGTCAAAATCATCACGCAAGAACACCGCGGCTAGCAACTTATCAGTAGATCAAGACACGCCGCCGCCCCTACGCCTCGGGAAACAGGCTTCCAAAGCCCAGCAGAGTGCGGACACAGCGTCTATCGTACCCCCGGTACCAGTCCCGTACTCGAAGGAGCCAATCACGAGTGGGAAGACCCCATCAGTTGCTCCAATAGAGCCGTTGAAGCTCAACTCAAAAGAACCGAATGCGAACGGGAGAGGCGCGCCGCCGCCCCCGCGTGTTGACAACATGGCTCCCAGGGCCCATCAGAATGCAAATCCACCGTCTGTGCCAGCAATATCAACACAGAATATCGCTAAAGAGTCGAAGACGGCTGGGCAAGAGACACCATTCACTCCTCTGAATGCTTCGAAATACAATCCTAAAGAGACGGGCACAAACGGGAAGAACGTGCCATCCACACCCCTAGATCCGTCAAAACCTGACCAGAAAGAATCAGGTGCTGGCGTGAAGGGGGCGTCGTCCACTCCCCAGGATCCGCTAAAACCCAACCCAAAACAACATACAAACCCGTTCCTTCCCATGGAGCCACCGAAACTCAATCCGAAAGAATCAAGTGCAAGTGGGAAAGGGAAAAATGCGCCACTCGCGCCTATGGACCCTTTGGACCCGTCGAAAGCAGCAGTTCCAACTCAACTTCGCCCGGGCCAGGTGCCCACAACCAACCCTTCCCGGGCCGGACCGGCCGACTCAATCCCTCGGAAGCCGCTGGGGTCGCCTCCGCGGCCATCACAGACGAATTCTCCTCGGATCGATCCAGTCACATTTCTGGTGAAGCCGAAGACGTCGGAGCAGCAGAAGCTGCCGGAGCAGCAAAAGATGTCGGAGCAGCAGAAAATGTCGGAGCAGCAGAAGGGAACGGCATCCACCAACCCCTTCCGACGATCTCGCACGAATGCCCAAACCCAAGCGGCGAACGCGGCGTCCATGAATCCTCTCGGATCATCGCCTCCCAATCCCCAGGTCCAGCCGTATAACGAGACCTCGACGAAGCCTCTAAACTTACCGCCGCAGTCTGGCAGTCAGCCAAAGACCAACCCACCAATCTACAGGCCTAGCGTGAGAAGCCCTCCGCCACGGACGCAGACCACGTCCAACTTTGCGCCTCCGCCCACTGGGAAAAATAAACAGGCGCCCTCGTCCGGGTTCTCCAGCTCCCGGCCAGGTGCCGCATACGCAGGAGGACCCAGCCATGGGCATTCCAGCTCCCTCGACTCCAACGTCTCCAACGACTCGGTGGCCAGCTCCTCCACGGCCACCAGCACGAGGCCTCTGAACCCTACGCAGCGGCAGAACACGGGCTTTGCCAACAAGCCCGCCCGGCAGGCGTCGGACCCGCGCGAGAAGGGCGCGCCCGGCGGTGGCGGCTACTACAGCAGCGGCAACGAGGCCGGCGCGGCCGAGTCACCCTACATGAACATGCTCCTCTCACTCGACCGAATCCCGCGCATGCACAACATCCTAGTCTCCTTCTTCGTATGGATCCTGCTCGCCGGCTTCGTCATCATTCCGGGCTCCTTCACCAGCAGCCAACGCAAGCAGGAGGGCGAGACGGTGCAGCTGCCCGTGTCGGCGGGGGGCACGGGCACGGGCGCCGACGCGGGCGGGGGCAAGAAGCTGTCGCTGACCCCCGCCAACACGGCCGCGCTCGTCATCGGCTTCGTATGCATCATCGCGGGCACCTTCGGCTCCGCCTGGCTGGCCCTGCGCTGGCGCCGCAACTACGTGTGGCTGCTCAACAAGCTGTACCTGCCGCTGATCCTAAACGCCCTGGCGGGTCTACTGGCCACCATCACGAGCGTGTACACGCAGCAGGCGGGCGAGTGGGGGCCGCAGGCCGTGACTACGGCTGTGGTCGAGGCGGTCATCCTGGCGGTCAGCGTCATTTTGTTCTTTGTGTACAACTATTGGCTGCTGAAGCGTATGCGGAGCGACCATGAGGAGGCGGTGACGGGTAGGAAGGAGAAGAAGAAGAAGAAGGAGAAGGAGTCGTGGAGGGAGAGGAGGGCGCGGAAGAAGAGGGAGAAGAAGGAGGGGATGAAGAGGGAGAGGAAAGTCGGGGGCGGGTGGTTTGGGCGTTGGAAAAAGGCAAGCAAGAAAAAGCCTTATGCAGCGGGGAGTGTTGTTAAAGAGT